ACAAGCGCTAAAGTCCACTCAACCTGCAGTCCTCTAGAGACAAGAGCTAAAGTCCACTCAACCTGCAGTCCTCTAGAAACAAGAGCTAAAGTCCACTCAACCTGCAGTCCTCTAGAAACAAGAGCTAAAGTCCACTCAACCTGCAGTCCTCTAGAAACAAGCGCAAATGTCCACTCAACCTGCAGAAGTGTAGACTAGGACAACTCAATCACACAGTCACACACACAGACGCACTGTCACACAGTCAAACACAGACACACACCGTCACACTGTCACACAAACACACACAAACACAGACACAAACACAGACACAGGGTGACAGACAAACACACAATCACAGTCACACAGTCACACACAGACACATACAGTGACACAAAATCACAGTCACACACAGACACACACCGTCACACAGTCACACAGGCACACAAACAATCACACACACACTGTCACACACAGTCACACACAGTCACATACGTAGACAAACACACGTACACACACAGTCACACACACAGACACACAGAGACACTCAGACACACAGACAAACACCAACACACATACACGCACTGTCACACACACAGACACATACAGTCACACACACACAGATACACAGACAAACACACGTAGACACACAGTCACACATAGACACAGAGACACCAGGCATGTTGGACAGCCATGCCTGGCCCATGTGTATGAAAGATAAAAAAACTACGTGCACCCACACACACACACACTTGTCTGTTCAGGGGACAGACCAAGGGAGAGAGTGACTAACACACAGGTCCAGCACATGGGGCTGTCAGTACAGGCCAGGGTGGCCTGGATGAGGCAGGGAGGTAATTTTAGGCAGAGGCAGTAACGCGGATCTTGTGACAGCAGATCTGAAACCGCCCCAGGGTGGGGGCGTGCGTGGGGGGAGGAGGGGAGTGGGGGAGGGGGGGTGCGGGCAGAGGAAAGAGGAACTTTGCCTCTCGTCCTGCTGGTACAGAAGGAGACGGGGGGGGGGGGGGGGGGATCTCAGAGGACCGAACCAGGACCGAAGAGACTCAGTCCCTTCGACGGTGTGATCTGGACCTTTTTTGTGACTTCCTGCACAGAGTCTTCAGGTTTTTGGTCTTTTGCAGTCCTTTTGGACTCATTCATTATCCATTTAATCGTTAACACTTCTCATCAGGCTTCAAGGTATAACAAATGTGACCAGACCTTTTAAGCAAGTCGATGTCTGAGGCAATCAACTGTCAAAGACCTTAAAATCCTATAGAGTGGAAGTCTACTTCAGAAAGGTTACTTTAAAGAAGTTTACTGTAAAGCACTTTGAGAAGCTACTTCTAAAAATATTGCATAAAATATTGTCCCTCTTCCCTGCACACTGTGTGTTTCAATCATTTTTTATACAAGTTGTTCGAAAAACAAATTTCCCTCCTGATGAATTTGATCCTTTCACAAAAAAG